GCTGTGATTGGGCAGAGGTAGTGGGAGAACGGGGCATGCCGGGAAGCAGCGCTGTGCGCCGGCCCTGCGAGGGTCCCGATTGGAGAAGGGGTGCGCTCTGCGGCATGCTGGGAGTTAGCGCGCTTCCCTCTCCGCCCCGCTCCCCCTCCCGCGCCAGGAATGCTGGGACTTGAAGTCCCAGTCTTCTTCCTTATTACGCCGTATATGTCTCAGAGAACTCGATTTCCCAGTAGGCGCAGCGGTCGGTGCGCATGCCCAGTGCGCTCTCTAAGGAAGCGATCTCCCTCTTCCACTGGTGCCCGGCCTCAGCGGAGCCTTGCAGGAGCATGGCGGCGTTGGTGATTTTTCCCTCTCCGCTGCCGCGCCTTCATGCTTTTCTCCAGCGTTGCTGGGGGCGGTTGGGGCGTGGGGTCTTCCCGGGCTTCTCCGGGCCTCAGAGCCTGCCCTGGGGTAGGTGCCGTCATCCTGCCCCCAGGGGAGGGCGGCGCTGGGGCTACGGGGCGCTTGTTTCCGTTAAACGGCTGAGGGTTGGGGCGCGAGCGCGCGGCCGCGGGGGCATCGCTGGCTGCTCTTACCTCCTTCTCTGACAGGAGTAAAAGGATTCGCGTTGCATCTGTTCGGCTGCCGGTGAGAATGGAGGTTGGGTGCAATGTAACGCGTTCTTTCTTCCTTCAGGGCCAGCACTGGCTGTCCAAGCTCCAGCTTTTTTTCCAGAGCCTGTAGAAGAGGCTAGTGAAAGTAATGAGGCGCCAAGCTTCCTAGATAGCATTTTGTGGATGGCTGCTCCAAAGAAAAGACGCACCATTGAAGTAAACCGCTGCAGGCGAAGAAATCCCAATAAGCTTATCAAAGTAAAGGTAACTACCTAATTTATGTTGGCTAGCCACCTTATTCCGTGTGAGCAATTTTATTAATGATGAGTGAGCATGCCAGGGTAAAATTAATTCTGGTGCTTTTTAGTTTCACTTATTTTAGAGACTAATTTGTGCTAACGGTCATTACTGATTGAAACACCTGTTTGGAATTTGTTTGTAAATAGGTTTAAAAGACATGGTAGTTCTCAAAACATATTGTAACAAAGACAATCAGAATGTGTAACAGTAGGCTGTGGTTAAGTTAAAGAGCGATAGTTTTGGTGGAAGCCCCATGGCTTCAGTCTTCCAAACATCAGTAGGCATAATAATGTAGGCATTGACTTCATAGGCTGCTTATAATAGTGAGCATTGACATAGCAGTGCATTGCAGAAAAAAGTCTTTAGCTAGAACAATACATTTTGAAAATGCAATTGAATTTTCCTAATATTTCATTTACATATGTTGTTTGTAATCTTTCCCTGTTTCTTTTTCTTTCAAATTTCAAAATTTCCTATTTTTCACTTTCTTTTTCAGAGAAATATAGATGTTTGCCCTGAATGTGGACACTTGAAACAGAAGCATGTTCTCTGTGGCTATTGTTATGCAAAGGTCAAAGCAGAAACTCAACAGATACGGCTTGAGATACGTAAAAAGGAAGGAGGACCATTTAATGCTCCTACTGTGGAAACTGTAGTTCTTTATGATGGAGAAAAGCCTACAGAAAAAGATGAAGGCAAGCGGATCATTGAAAGAGCCAGGAAGCGTCCATCCTGGTTTATTCAAAGTTGATGTTATAGAACTAATATAAACAAAAACAGTTGCTACAGCAGGAAAGATGGTGCTTTTCAAGACTGTTTTCCTTGTTGTATTCACTTAATGCTGATACGAACCTATCAAGTTTTGGGAAGTCTGACTGAAACACATTTCATTTCATATGGGATTACAGTCATGTGTTGTTTCCATAGCATGCAGTGGTGAATGCCTCTCAGTGACGCGTAGCAGTCATAATTAAAGAGAAGTCAGGATCTACCGGGAGTTTGGATATTTGCTTACTGTAGACAGAATAATATGTTAATGTTGTATGCTGTTTTTGTAAATAACACTTTTTAACAGAGATAAAACATTCACGTATATAGAATAAAATGTATAAAGATTCATAGGGAGATCGGTTTTCTCTTTTTGTCTGCTGCTCTAAAAAAAAGCATGCTAATTAAATGTAATGTTGACTAGATACAAAGTACCTTTACAAGAAAAGATGCAGTTTTGTGGTAATTTCCATGGCCTGGATCTCTCCACAGTGCTGCTGTTTGAAATATTTGATGTTCCTGGTTTTGAGCAAAACAGTGGTTGTCACATTGCTTGCTCGGTATGTTAGGCACTTCTGTTTGTTGTCTGCATACAGAACAGATTTCTGCCTTAAAGGGACACAAACAGACTTTTTTTTCAAAGTGCACTATGGTTCTTCAGTGAGAGAATGATTTGAAACGTAATGACTGGAAATTTGTAAATAATGTAAGGGTGAAAGGTGATTCTTTGCAGCCATTCCAGTTAAGTGGGTGGTCAGCATGCACTCGGGAAAGCAAAAAGAACAGTGTGCCTTCCTGCCTTGTATGTCTTCTGCAGAGAGGGCAGCTCTGCCCTCTACTGTCCGTTGCTCTTCAGTGATGTAGTTAGGCCTACTAGTTGTGGATTCCACTTCAGTTTTAGCTGTACGAGTACTGCCATTGCTTTTAAGATTAAGGAGTTTACGTTTTAGGATGGGATTTAAATATACAAAAGGTACAGCTCAGCCAATCCAAGAGCTAGTTGCTGAGGAAAAATGCAAGTCTCCTCTGAACTCTGGCTGTGTTTCCTCTACAGTTTCCTTGGCACTTGTGTGTATTCAGCCCTGTGATGTCCTGGTTTGGAGAGCTATAACACTACAAAACTACTCCCTAGTTTTGCACAGCTAGGTTTTTGTTTGGTACCTGACAGTAGCTTGGCGCGTGTCAGGGTCAAAACGTGACACACAGGCAGTAGGAATATAAAAGGAGGCTGGACCACGTTTTTCAGAATAGCCTTTGTCTGTATATGTCTCACCAATCTTGGATTATGCTAGTTTAAAGAATGAGATAGTGTTTGTGCTGTAACTCTTCACTTTTGCTTTCCTCATTCTGGATTCCACGTTCTGAAAGACAACTGGTGTTGGAAATCAGGAACAGATGTTAGTGGGGATCTTGCATTTCCCCTGTAGTCTAAGGGAATAATGAATATTGTTAACTGTTGATGCCGTTCAATTGATGGTATCTAAGCAAGCAACATGAGTCCTTTCCTACGTTTCTAAACAGGATTTATCCCAGTCGCTATCTGTTCTTTCACTTCTTATTCAGAAATGAAGCCAATAAAAGGTGGCAAGCAGGCAGACTGGAAGCACACTGGAAGGTTTACATTTGCCAGAGCTGAATGGGATGAGACTGACATTTTTGGAGGTGAGATGAACCAAGCATTAAGAGTGGTATGTTGTTGTCTTGAAGGAAAAGTGTGTACGGATTCCAGGGACGGGGGATATTTTTGGTTTTTAATAAGATCAGTTGTACAGCGCTCTGTTAGCTTAGGGTATTGAGAGAGTCATGGATTAATTCCTTAGACGCATAGAAGTATTCTTAAAAAAAAAAAAAAAAAAAGTATATGAATATTTATCTCTGAACATGAGAGAGGACAAGTGGTTTCTCCTAATGGAGTAATAAGTATAAGTGGCAATATAGTGAGTTACTCTATTGAATTATGCTTTACAATAATGTTCTTATGAAACATTAGTGAAGTTAGGCTGCGTCACCACTAGAAGTTTTAAGGTACTTGCAAGGTCATAGGTGGTAATTCATTTTACAGCCTTTGCAGCTTGCTTTTGTTAGTACTGCATTTGTGCAACTTGGACAGGACAAGTAACTTACTATTTCATAGTGGTTTCTCTATGTTGTGGGAACAAGTAATTAAAATGTCTGGTATTCCTGGTCTTTAAAAGAAAAAGTAGAAACAACTGAAAAATAGTTGAGTTTTGTGTAAAACTGATGGAGTACCAATTAATTTTCCAGGGAAGAAAGGATCTTCAGTGAGAGTCATCATGGTTTGTTTAGATGAATGACTTTTCCTTCAAAAGAGATGGAGTAAAGGAAAGCTCACTTTCATAGCTTAGCTTTATGAACAGTGACAACACAACGCTCTTTTTAATCCAGAACGCCTCCAAAACGTGGCATAGTCTGTTACTTGAGATAAATCCTATTTATATATAATGGAATCTTTTGCCAAATTCTTTTTATCAAAATTAGGATATTCTAATCTTGCTCATATTTTTTCTGATTCCAATTCATGTTAAACTTATGACCCACAATTTACAGCATTTACATTTGCAGATGAAAATCTCTTTGAGATATTTTGAAACAAACACAAATTGCAATAATGTGTGTATATTTACATACATTTTTTGCAACAATGTAAATTGAAACTAGTAAAAAGCAAGCAGGATGCTGCAAACGCTGTACTCCAGAACCCATTTGAAAACAAAAAATTGTATGCCTCAAGGATTTCCGTTTTGATACTATGGGAACCTATCAGTAGTTGTCGAAAGACAGACTCCTTTTCTGAAAATTTCATGATTAAATAAATGTTTTATGTGATTATGTTTTTTCCTGTAAGGAGTCTATAGGTAAAAATTATTTTCTTTTAAATGTAAGAAGAACCCAGGCAGAATGTAATGTCCTAAAATACAAGGATGGAAGTTGCTAAATGACTTTGTGTCATACTAAAGTCTACACAGATACAGGCCATCTCTGGCAGTGATGGGTTGTGATATCCATAGAGAACATAAGCAAAAAACATTAAGCAAATTCTGATAAGGGTTGTGCAGAAACCTTTTATCTGTTCTGTTGAACACACTATGTCAGCAAGAGCAGGTGGTAGATATAAAGTATACTTCTTTAAAGCACTAGGTGGCAGAGGAGTGTAGCTTTCTGGTATGCGAAAAACAAAAGCTGAAGAGTCATTACTGAGATATGAAACAGTCAAAGTCAGATTTAAGAAACTTGCATCCATGTAAGTGAAAGATCTGCAAATAGACTAAATTTGCAAAGTACAAAGGAAAATATGATAGTTGTTATGGGACACAAGCTAATCAATTGTAATACATAGTTCTGACCGAGTTAAATTAGATCTATACTGAGAACTAATGTACTGGCCTCTGTGTATGTCTAGTCGGTTGACACTTTATTTATGCAGCCAGAAAGCCATGCAAATGGGTCTGACAGCATTCCAGTGACTTTCAAGGTATAACGGCCTTGAATTTGTACAGTCATAAGGACCGCTTTGCAAAAAGCAGACATAAAATGGAAAGAACAGTAAAACAATGTGTTAAACGGATAGTTCCTCAGAATGGAACAGAATATTCTGTGCTCCATCAAAGGTTTGAAATGTTTTCAAAGCACGTGTGTGATGGAGGTGCCTGTGTCTTTAGAACTTATTTTTTAAGTAGTATTTAAAAAAACAAAATACTAGCAAAAATCCTTTCCCCTCATGTGGCTGCGGGCATTGTATAATTAATATGGTGAATGAGACTCAGTAAATAAAAGTTAGGTTTCCAAATAATTTGCCTAAGTTCTAACTTGCCAAATATTTTTAAAATTGAGGCCAAAAGGAGGAAAATCAATGAAAAGGATGAGAAAGAAGTAGGCTATGCAGCCTACTGCTGCATAAATCCAGTTTTGTCCAGTCTATGTTTATACCTTGGAAATTCTATTGAAGTCAGTGAAGTATAATTCAAGGCAGAATTTGGTCTATTGCATTATTGTATTTAATGACAAGTACTGAAACCCAAGACTTCTGGATATATGCAAGTATGGTGCTTTTGTTTTTTAATGCAGAACAGATTGGGGAGAACCTGGGAAAATACTATTGGATACTAATGCGATTGAGTTTACAGCTGAAAACTAAGATTGCATTTGATGACTGTCATAAATTGAGTCTAAACAGTTGATGTTTGACAGAAATTAAAGCATCCTATCTTTCAGTTTCCCTCCTTGAAGACAATAGACCCATTTAGAAGAAAGACTATAGGATTGATTTCATATTGAATCTGCTGGTTAAACATATTAAAAGCAAAGCTTGAACCTGCTCTGGAGCAGTTTGGGTCTGAAGACCCAAAACAAAAACTTTTGTGGAGTTGCACATTTATCAAACATTATAAGAGATTTTTCTCAAGCTCCACTCCTGGATCATGTGAAATCTTAGGCTTTTTTTTTTTTTTTTTTTAATCTGCAAATGAACAACCCTGTATTACTATTTTGTTAAGTATCATACCTTTTAAAACAATCCTTTGATTTTGAAAACTTGAGATATATTTTGCGTATTCTTTTCATCCCAATACAAACTTTTGACTGTTTCTGTTTGTTTCTTAGAAGGGCACAGACTCTTCTCTATATATATACAACATATTTCTCAACATGATTGCGCTTTTTAGTTGTTCTTCTCGCTACACAAGCATATAGAAATACCCTGTCTGTCATGTCTTGGATATAAGTCTAATTAATCCTTTATGTCTCCTAAAAGCAGGAACTAGTTCAGGAGACTCAAGAGGAATGAGGCACATTAAATGGAGTGTGTGTCATACTGTAGGAAGGGCAGTCAGGCCCCACTTACATGACTGACGTAACTTTTACATCCATTCCCGAGGTATGCTAATGGGGTTTCTATTCCCATCACACAGGCTCATCGGCTTGTCTAGCAATATGGCTTACAGCTCAGTTTTCCATTATACTGTGGCTCTACAGCATATTATGGAAAATGTTTCCACTAGAAATAAGGATTTTGAGCAGGCGGTCGGAAAGATAGATTTTGTTGTTTTATAATCTGGGATTAATATTAAATACAAAGAATAGTGATTTTAAAGGGGCTGTACAGAGCAGCTTAAAAATGGACCAGTTCTGTAGGAAACATTCATTCTAAATGTATTGCATTCTGAAGTCCCTTCTCATTAATTTTATGACTATCCCTGCTCAGTCATAATCAGATCAGGCAAAGCATCTATGATTTTCTGAGGAAAAACAGGAGGGAGGGTTTGTCCCAATTAAAAATACCTTTATTTTATCACTCTGAAACAGGATAAACTATACCTTAGTCTTCAAGAAGC